AAGATGGGCAATCTACTTCCGTAGTGATACTGCCTGGAAACCCAAGGAGGGGTCGCTATGAGTCGCTATGAGTCGGTCCGACTTCACGGCACATAACAACAACAACGAAGTTTGTTATATAGTCCTCTGTAGGAGCCATTTGCACCCAGATTTCTTATCTCCTAAAAATAAGGCTGGTGGTTCATACCCACTATCCACTCTTGGGAAGGAAGACTGGGCAATCTACTTACATAGAGATACCGCCTTGGAGACAAAAGGAGGGGTCGCTGTGAGTCAGAACCGACTGGAGGGCAGTGAGAATCTTGTGTTTCTTTGTGCTTATCTTGCTTCCCAACAAAACTGTGACCGATAACAACGTTTCTCATTTTTACATCTTTTTGATGTTGGTAACTCATCATTTGCGTATCCAATATAGAATTAGTAGTCTCCCCAACAAGCTTCTCCTTGTTTCTTTTCCACCTTGCTCATTGAACATCTTTAGTACATCACTGTGAGCCAGAAACTCACCGTGGGGCATAAAAGAAATGTAGTTGGGATGTGGGGGTGGGGCAGTTGAGACTTGAAATAGGTGCAATAATACAACAGTATAATGTGACACCTCTATGGGTATGAAAAAGTAGCAATCAGTTCCTGCAGGGGTGGTCACAAATTATTTTTTAGCAAAAGTGACCTTAAAATTTTTGGGTGAAGTGAAGGAAGTAATTCTAGGCTGAGAGATCAATGAAACAGGCTGTTGTGTTCCTAGAACTGTGAAAAGTTTGATATCACTAGCTAAGAGAAAGCAAAAGTGGATACGATGAGTGATAAGACAGAGCTCAGGTAGTAGTAGGGACCAGCTATTTGAGTGCCTTGTTTAGCATACCAAGGAGTTTGAACTTAATCTGGCAGACAATAGGGAACCACTGAAGGGTTTTTAAGTAAGGAAGTTACATGATCACATGCATTTTAGAGAGTGGATTCTGGCCTCAAGCAGATAGATGAGAGATTGGAGGCAAAGAGCAATTCCAGCACCAAAAAGTGAAAGAGGCTTTCCTCTTTTTTAAGCATTTCATGGAGAAACAGTGGTTAAAGTGTTTGAAATGGATTTGGGATATTGAAGAGTTTGGACATGAGAAACAAGGTGGGAAAATGTAGTTGTTCATTTGGCTCTGTGACTGTGGGAAAGTCACTACACACAAATTTAAGCTTCAGTTTTCTGCTAAGAAATGTCTTAGGGGAAAAATACCATAAAGTTATGCTGTCATTGTTAGGTGCCATGGAGCCGGCTCTGACTCATAGGGACCCTATGTACAACAGAGGGAAACACTGCCAGGTCCTGCACCATCCTCACAATCCTCGCTATTCTTGAGCCCATCATTGCAGCCACTGTGTCAGTTCATCTGGTTGAGGGTCTGTCCCTTTTTTTGCTGACCCCCTACTTTACCAAGCATGACTGGTCCCTTCTGACAAAGTGAAAAAGAAAGATATTTTATTCAGCATATGCAGCAAAAAAAAAAAAAAAAAAAGGAACAAATGTGGTAAATAGACAGACGTGTCATCAGTGTCCAAAGAACACTGCAAAATCAATGGTATATAAGAGATTACAATTTAGTAACAGCTCACCTTTCCATAGATTTATTAAAAACTGAATTACTATGATTGTTTTCAAAGTGATTGGTACAAGTTTTCAGTAACAATACTCAAAAAGCCAAAAATCAAACCCACTGCCATCAAGTTGATTTCAACTCATAGTTACCCCCACTGGGTTTCCAAGGCTGTAAATCTTTAAGGAAACAGATTGCCCCACCTTTCTTCCAAGGAGTGGCTGGTGGGTTTGAACCACAGACCTTTTGGTTAGCAGCCAAATGCCTTATCCACTGCGCCACCAAAGCTCTTTAATGACATTCAGGAGTGACCAAACAGAGGTCACTATCAGTCAGAATTGATTCAATGGCAGTGAGTTTGGTTTGGTTGGAGAAAACTAATTATTCTACTCTTCTGGGGGACAAACTGCCTCTCTCTGTACTGTCACGGACTTGTATAAGCATAGCCACATTGGTGGTGTCAATTGTCAGAAGCGATGGAGAAGTAATATAAAAAACTCAAAATGGTATCTGAAGTTATGTCAAGGCTCAAAATGGAGTTAGGGTACCAACTGTAGGCCACACCCTTCTACAAACCAAATGCTTTTAGATTTTAGGCTCCAGGGATTCTGGTGGCATAGTGCCTAAGGCATTTGACTGCTAACCAGAAGGCTGACAGTTCAAACCCACCAGCTACTCCTCACAAGGAAGATTGGACAATCTGCTTCCATAGAGATAACCACCTGGGAAACCCAAGGAGGGGTTGCTATGAGTCAGATCCAACTCTACAGCAGTGAATTGGTTTTTTGTTGTTTTTTTTTTCCTTTGGTAATGCAGGATTAAATGGCTTGCCTTAACTGCCAAATTCACGTTGCTTGGTTCTACAATCGATGCCAATGGAAGCAGCAGTCAGGACATTAGACGACGTGTAGCATTGGGAAAGTCAACTGCGAAGGAACTGTTTCAAGTGCTGAGGAGCAAGGATATCTCCTTGAGGACTAAGGTGCGCCTGACACAAGCCATGATATTTCCAATCGCTTCGTATGCATGTGAGAGCTGGACAATGAATAAGGAAGACCGAAGAAGAGTTGATGCTTTTGAGTTGTGGTGCTGGTGAAGAATGCTGAAAGTACCATGGATTGCTAAAAGAACTAACAGATCTGTCCTGGAGGAAGTGCACCTGAAATGCTCCTTGGAAGCAAGAATGGCCAGACTTCGTCTCACCTATTTTGGTCATGTTGTCAGAAGGGACCATTCCCTGGAGAAGGATGTCATGCTTGGTAGGGTGGAGGGTTGACGAAAGAGGGGGAGGCCTTCAACGAGATGGATTGATATGGTGGCTGCGATGATGGGCTCGAGTATAGCAGGGATTGTGGGGCTGGTGCAGGATCGGGCAGTGTTTCGTTCTGCTGTGCATGGGGTCGCTATGAGTCGGAAACGACTTGACGGCACTTAACAACATAACAACACCACCACCACCTGCCAAAAAATGAAACTAACATGTTAACAAGATGAGTAAATAGAATGAAAACATACATTTATTCACTCAGTAAACATTTATTGTAAACATTGAAAAAAGGAAAGGCTGGCCCTCAACGAGATGGATTGACACAGTGGCTGCAACAATGGGCTCAGGTATAGCAAGGATTGTAAGGCTGGCACAGGACCAGGCAGTGTTTCATTCTGTTATGCATAGGGTCGCTGTGATTTGGAGCTGACTCGACAGCACCTAACAACAACAAACATTTATTGAATATATTCCACATACAGGGGGTTAGATGCAGAATACTCAGAAATAAAAAAAGCATACTACTGCCCTCAAAGGGGAGCCAGGCAAGTAAAAATGAGAAGACTAATCTTTCTTTGTACCTTAGTTTTCTAAGAAATGAAGATAAATTTTAAAAAGTGCAGAGAATGACGATAAAAGCATTTACGGCAGTCCAAACCCACTAGCCACTCCTCAGAAGGAAGACTGGGCAATCTACTTCCACAGTGATGTTGTTGTTGTTATGTGCCATGGAGTCGGACCCAACTCATAGCGGT